TGTCAGTGTGAACCTCAACCTGAGCTAGGTTTTAAAAACAAACGAGCAAACTGACGTTTGTCAGAAAACAAGCAGACCCAATCTTGATACCCGATCCAGGTTGGAACTGAATAATAAACGAATCCGCTATAAATTTGTAACTTACCTCTACTTTTTGACTAAACTAAATTTGTAACTACTAACTAATTAAATCACTCGACCAAAACAATTACCGGAGCCGTTAAAGTGAACAAGCATCTACGTCCTGAACTGCTTTTTTTTTAATCTTTATTTTAGAGATTTTTAGCCTTAGGCTAGTTCATCTCTACCTGAACTGCTTGGATAACAATAATGCGTCTCATAATGCACGAAACTACACTTTTTGCTACCAGGTGAATCTTTGTCATTGAAGAAAAAATGAATAAGATTTTGACAAAGGTTTTTTTAGGATTAAGTCTATGAGTGACTATGTGATGAGCAATTTGTGAATATCGCGCGAATCATTGTCAATGACAATGACACATCTCAGCACTGATCGGAATACGGGGTACGCACGTAAAGATTAAATTAACAAACTTAAGCAAACGCCGAATACGGTAAAAAAACCAAATATACTCGAAATTACAAGCTCGTTTACCAAACTCCTGTGAACTATTTCAGGCTGTCAAATCAAGATATACTCAATTTTAATACTTCATATCAGTCTTGTAAGCGGTCACGGTAGTCGACATATTTTCTGTGATAATTGACTGCCTTTGTCTCCGACACTTGCAAAACAAGCTATCATAGTACAGTACCAAACTAAAATGTCATATGACAGGCTCTGTCTTACGACACTGTCGCCGAAGACCGTCACGAATGTATGTATTTTAGTTTTTTTTTTCATAATAAGAGCTGCTGATGGTGTGCTTGTGTGAATTCTGAAAATATCAAGCAATGATGTCCTAGTAATAATATTTCTGATCAGAAATGATTTGATTTACACCAAATTGCGGAATTACAACGAAATCACACATGTCATATGAAAGCTATTTGGATAATTTTCTTTTAGCTAGAATATTATTCTACCGCTCGTGTTGTGTGACAGAGACGACGGTAGAGCATGAATGTTTGAATACAAACAGACTCTCGCGCACGACAACGAAGCGAGTGTAGTAAAAAACGTCAACTGTTTCAACCCCTGCTTCATATACTTCAATTTTAACAATAACAATAAATGTAAAAGTAAGTAGTGGCCTGTAACTGGAAAATTCCGGTAAAACTTTGAGCGTCACCGATAATGGAGCAGGTATGCAGCATGAATGCATCACCAACATATTTCAAGAGCGCAAACACAATATCCTAGAACACACCAAAATACGAATGTAATTACGCAAACATCAAAAGAAAATTAACATCGATGCTCTCAATCATACATTCACTGCCCCAATGCCATTTTTTCCTTTCGAAGTGGATGAAGGGATTTGATGTGATATTATTTTTTAAATTTTTGCTATGGCCGAGTTCAAAGTTAATTCACGAATTACCACTGTCCTGCTGGTTATCAGTTGTTCATTATTGGAACAAAACTTAAAATAAATGGATCTAGCAAATATTATTGCACAAAGAGCATTTTCGTCGCATTGATCGAAAAAACTAGTAACATGAAAAAGATCAGCAGACGATAGTTTTGAAATTTAATCAAAACCGTTTACGGAATAGGCCAAAACAAAAATCAAAACTGGATGTTATAAGTTTTTTTTTATTAAAATGGAAAAGCTAATAATGATTATCAGAGCTACTTTTTTCATAAATGACGTTTGTTACATACGTAATTGCAAAAATGGCTCAAACGCCATTTTAATTTTATAATGGCATAAAGCGATGGTGTTTTGGGAAAGTTGATAATGATGATTGAAAAGTCTATTTGCATAACAGAGATATATAATACGTAATTCCTAAATTAACTCAAACATCAGTATACAAGAAAATCCTTAAAATAACTAAATTCAGTTTCCTTCCATTTTGATACTTGCTAAATGGTTGAACTTTCGTTCAGTTGTAAAACTTAAAAATACCCCTATTTTTGTGATTCGACGATGCTTAACAGTACCAATTTTTCATCAATATTAAAACAAAAAAAAAAAATCTGTGACCTGCTCCCGAACATTTCATTTAAAAAACTGGTAAATCTGTCGATAAACTATGATACGAGCTTCTCAATCAAAATTCATTCAATTGAATATACACCCTTTGCAATATCAGACGTTGATCTGACTCTAACAAAGTTGATTTTGGAAGGTCCAATATGGCTTTATGAAATTTCCTTTAAGAATGGAGCTGAAACTTACCGTGTTTGTGCATAACCCCATGAAATGGATCGTGTACTTAAAGCTTCAACTGAAAACCACCTTCCTGAACGCAACTTTCAACCTTTGTGAATGAAACATAATATTAGGTAGGCTTTATTCGTTCCGTGTATATTCAATTTCAACTTTTCGGCGTCCTCCAAAGCACTTTTCTTCAAGACTCTAATGTAGGTGTGCTCTTAAAACCGATGTTATGTGACGAAAGTTGTTCGCTAATTCTGCACACTTTTGAGACACCACACAGTTTACCATGACAACTTTGCGAAATCCACAAGTTATCACAAGGACCTCGGCGCATTCTTCCTCATACCTAGGCTGTTGACAATGTGACAAAATTGTTTACGTTTCATTTTCCATTCTAAAATACCATGAGCGCATTCCAAGGATAATGCTACCCAGTTACCAGTTTATCACATTTGGTATTAACATTTCAGAGGCACATTTCGACAAGCAACAAAGTTTTTAATCCGCGAAATCTCCTTTTGTTGCGAAAACAGATATCCACTCGGTGCTCGGTGATAGCTCGTACCCTTTCCACGCCACATCCTCACGAGGACATAGATATAACAAGTTTTGTAACAGCCAGTGCGTGTTTGTGACGATAGCAAACCTTCCTACTCTGTTTTCATCTGCACTCCCATGAGATCAAGCGGATATTCCACGAAACGAGTTCTATCTAACTCCCCGAAGCCCGGGATGTACATGCAAATCTCATATTTTACAGAAAGTATACAAATCCGAGCCGTGAGCGGCGAAAAGTGAAAGAGAAAATTAAACCGCCATTAAATGAGCTACTGCTACCACGGTGTCACGTGAGCTACATTATTAGATATACACAACTTTGACTTCTGAGAAATGTGATAAGCCATTCCTTGCGACCCGCACGTTCCGGTGCCGGGAAATTGTTATCTAGCAAAGCAAAAGCATCTCCTTTTCTTCGAATTCATCCATATTTCACGGTCCCTGCCCATGTCGTTCGGTTGTTGCTCTGAAATTTCATCTGGCAACTGAACAAATTCAAAGGCAAGAAGATGAAGTTTTCTATTCGACGAACGGAACGTAAACAGTTCACTGTTACTGCGAAACACTAATTTTAGTGATCAGGGAAAATGTTGTGATCATCGATCACTGTTTGGGAAATATGTTTACAGAAGAGAATCTATAATTCATTATTGTCACAAGGAATTTTATTGATTTTCATCATAACACTATAATAGGTAGTCCCATGTGAATTTGTAATTGCTCAAAGCTGGTGTTTGGAGTAGTAGCTAATACATAAAATGTAAATTTCTGATCATTATTGCACTCTGATAATTATTGCATCTTAATTCAAACGGAGCTCACATCAATCACTATTTCCAGGAAATACTCTAAATATGGGATATGGGTGGTACCATGCCAGAGCTGCCGAATAAGATTGAAAGTATGCAATACAATATAAAAAGCTTCTGTCTTGAGTAAAGCTATTAAGGTGGTTCGGACATGTGAAATTCGAGAATGTACTATATCTCGACGTCACCTAGGAAGCTGCTGTCTTAGGCAAAGTAGTACGCTAGTGTGCCTGCAAACTTCCTGTACATTGAACACTAACACGAACAATGTTGAACACTCTTCAGTGCTAATGCAGTGTAAGCAATTCATAAATAACTATCATGTAATCTATTCATAAATAGAATCGCAAGTCACTATCTTCATCATTAGCCACATTATTGCTTCACTATTTCATCTCAATCAGCTGCGAGATAATTTCCAACATAAACAAAGCCCTGTAAATCGTTGTACTCTATTTGGAAGGAAAACACTCTTTCCAGCACTCCTTTTTCATTGGAATACGCCGAGTTTATCTTTGCCATCAAAAGTGGACTCAAAACATAATACCCTTAATAAAACCAAAATTATAAAAAGGCTTAAAAAGTTAAATTGTTTCATTTCCCGCCCCGGCAATTTGCTCTTCCTGTTTCGCTATGGGTGGCCTAGAGATAACGTGTTGGACCCCCAAAGGCATTACAAAATAAATAGCTGTGCAGTGTAGCTACGGAGCGGAAGAATGAGGATAGAAGGGTGGGTTCTTTCATTTCTTCTGATCAATATTTAGTCCCAAAAAGTAGTCTTTTCAGCAACCACTGCCACTGATGCTAAAAGAAAATGACTTTTTGAAGCGGATGATACTGGTGATGACGACGCGACGATGGTGTTATGTATTAAACCCATGTCAAATTAATCCTAGAGCTCCTAGTATCTCGTCGAGCTAAGCCCAGAGTTAGACGCAATCAGGATGTTGATATCGGTGTGCTGATGAGAAAATCCTCTAGGCATTTTTTGTATAAGCAATGCTTTGAACATTTTATCAATTTGCCGCTACACCTTGGGTGTACAAATCAATTTTCGTCCAAAAAGAAATAGGAGCAAGAAGGCCATAGTGAACAGGTGGGGAATAATGAGTATCCCGCATTCAACTTCTAATTGTTAAAATTAAATTAATTGGTAGTAGGTTCAATATCACCATATAAACCAATAAACCATAAGAAATACAAGGGTAAACACACCTGTACACCATACCCCTCCTTCCCCTAGCATTTAAAAAAAAACATGCTAGCGAAATTATAAACATATTTCATATAATAAAGATTGCCGTCGTGTCATTCGTAAGCCTTCGAACGATAGGAAACTCACCTGAAACGGTATCTCCTTATTCTTTTTAATTATGTGGAATCCACATATTTTCGTTTCGTCGACTTTGATTAATGGCGTGATTTCGACGAATGTTTCATTCTCTTTGATTAAGCCGTGGTATGCAGTCTCCAGGACACGTTCTGTGGATAAAAAAAGAAGAAGAAGAAAACATTGATTTAGTCAATACTTTAAGGTATGTTAACAAAACAAAAAACATTTATAGAACGTGTTACTTATTATATATAAAAGGGGGAAACTTAATTTTGCTTTTCAGTACAACAGCGTAATGTTTAAGGGTGATTTCCGGTTCAATTGACCTAAACTTTGGATTTTTTCCAGGAAACTGGTAAGAGTTAGAGACCTGAGTTTTTTGTCAAATCTTTATTCATTCTTGCTCTACAACTGGGAATTTTTCAAGTCCAAAAATCCAAAATGGCGTCCTATATGGAGGCTGCCCGGCGGGTACTTCCCAAAACTGCGAGCAGCCTAGAGGTCGCAAATCGTCACCTAGAAAGAAAATCGGCTCAGTTTCTTGAAGAGTATAGTTCAGAGAATGGAATGAACTAGAATCATTGAAAAATCTCAAAATTTGACAAAATGGCGGTAACTAGGTAAATGACTTTTTTTTAAATGCCGCCATTTTATCAAATTTTGAGATTTTTCAAAGAAGAATGAATAAAAATTTGACAAAAAACTCAAGTCTTTAACTCTTACCAGTTCCCTGGAAAAAAAATCCAAAGTTTAGGTCAACTGAACCGGAAATCCCCCTTAATAAGTAAAATCATGAGGAGCAGCTGACTATCTAACCACATTGATGAAAATTTTGAAATTTTAGCTCTTCATGGCTTGAACGATTTTAAATTGAGTCCTTATTATTTTCCTCATTGGAAGCTGACTTTGAATAATCCTTTTTTAATTAAATGATGATGGTCCCACCGCTTACCCCTACAACTTATCACACTTGATCCCTATTTCCCCTATCACCTCCTATTTTGTCAAAATCTAGAAAAGTGTATTTAGGAAAGATTCCACAAAGTGTCGGCTAGACGAAAGATAATGTTACGGTGACATTTGCGTCAGATTGTGAAACGTATATTTTTTCAGAGTTCTTATGTGTTCACGCCCATAGAATTTGTTTAAGCCAGTATGAAAATTCTTAATAATTTTTCTTATTAACTTAATAACTTATTCAACCAAAACGTATCAATTTTGCACAGCTTAAAAGCTGAGTGGTGCGAAGTGAAATTTTCTTCATGTTGGTAGTGTTGAAATAAACGTTTCATCACCGTCGGTTGGTAGAGAGAAGTGTCAAACGGCTTTTTGTGCAGAGCCGATTCGTGACTTTGTGATTGTTTGTTGACATTGTTCATAGCTGGAGTTTTTACGGAGTGGAATAAAATTCAGAATGAAGTGTTTTGCTCACTTTTGCAATTATTAAAATGGATACGACGAAAAGCGAAGCCTATTCAGGTTTCCCAAGGATTCAGCAGTAGTAAAAAGAACAAAAAAACGAAGATTCAATAGTGGAACAATGTATAATGTTTGATTTTTAAAATGTTTAAATAAATATCCACAGAAAAGTCTGTATAATGCATCCTCATTTAATCTCATCCCTGTTTTGCTTCTGTCTGCAAAATATACTTTTCATTTCAGGGAAGTCAAGAAAGAATAAAACCCTGACACATCCTCTACCTGACTTGCAATCAAACATAGTAATTTTTATTTGTATAAATTGTTGCAAATCAGATGCAAATTTAATGTGGCCGACGATATCTATGGAAGTGCTGTCGAAATTCCCTGGGACCTCCAATGGCAACGATTTGACTTCCCTCCAAATCGTGTGAAACTCGAACATGAAAACTCTATAGAACCCCCGTAGAACCTCGCTGGCAGCAACTAAAATATCCACTGAAACCTCTTCTGTCGCGGGAAAAATCTGTTGAAATTTCCTGGAACTTTTGTACTATCATCACAAATCTCCTTAGAACGTTCTCCGAAGTCACAGTCGTTCCTGAGCGAAAAAAAATCGGAGGGGTTTTTTTCAGCGCAGGAGTCTACTTTGGTCCAAAATACGCAATAATACTGATATTTTTAATTGTTTGAGTCGTTTCGAATCACGTTTTTAAAAAGATCAAAAACATTACTGAAAAATATTTATTTTTTATTTTGGACGATAACAATACTTCTATCTATTTCAACGAACCACAATGATAAAAAAGTGGTTTGATTTGACAGCTCGAAAGTGGTTCGATTTTGAGGTCCGTCTTCGCACCACTCAGCTTAAAAGCATTTAATAAGGAGCATCAATTTTAATCTTTGAATTGGTGCTGTTTCCTTTGATTTGAAGTTCAGAACTCAGTTAGGAGAGGCTTGATCGCCCAAGTATTATTATTATTATTAATTAATTTGATAAGGCTCAACCGAATTAGCTTTACAGAACCGACGATTCTTGTACACTATACAATACATCTTAAAACTATAAGGTACAACACAATAAACATTTTATCTTCCGCTGTCCAATAAGCCTCCTTAAGCAGAACGGGAGCCACTTCCAGTAGTTTCATTGTATGGTAGATTCGTCAACGGGGGTCAGAGCGCTTCCATCGCAGCAATGTACGCAAAACGTGGTCAGCACTCACTTGCAATACCAGAGTGTTAATATTTTTTTCCTGCTAGATTTAATTCCTGGCCCACTGTGATACTGTGCAGAGCGAGTGCTCATGTGAAAATAACAGATTGCTTACACATGTGTGCTATCCTGAGTAGACGAGAATATCAAATCTAATATCAAACACTCTTGGGTCATTAGTGATTTTTCCGAGGGTGAGATTTGAACTCGTGACCACTACGCCGGGGTCGCCCCCGTTATTGCCTATTATAAAGTTTGAGATCGATCCAAGTGCAAATTTGGTGTGAAACACCCCAAGCAACAATTTTTGTTTTATTTATGTTTTATAGCAGTTTATATAACCAAATTATAAAGCCTTCACTGACGACCACATTGCTTTAACAATCAGCCATGTCATGGCCAATTGGCCTAGTTTTAATGCAGTCATTAAAACTTGATATGCGAACTACTTTAGGAGCATAGGATTTATGTCAGTTTTATCACACTCTAGACGTGATTGTTTAAAATGAAAACATAAAACCTCCTCCAGGTCAGAAAGTTTTAACAGCCTTCTAATGACTACCATAAAACTATATTACAACCGCATAAATCGCTCCTGAAGAAGTTGATAAAACATGATACACAAAACATTTTGACAACTTTGAAGGTTTTAAGTTGGGGTTTTTGGATGATAGTTAATATTGAGAAATATTTTATTGTGGTTTTATTCTTTCGATGTTTGATGTGAAATCATGATCCTTGTCAGTTGGTAATAATGGCTGATATTATTGTACATTGAAAATAAGACGACTTTATTATAATTTTAAACCAATCTGTATATGCTTCACAGCATGCCGTGCAATATTTATGGTGATTATTATACCAAATAGGAGCATAAATTTAGTGCGCCATATGAATACTAAAATATAGGGATATTTTTAATTAGTCTGCATTAGCACCATGCAGTAAAGAGTCATTCAAAGATTATCTATTTAGTACAAAACTGTTACTACTGTTGAGCAATAACCAGTCACATATTATTTAATTATACATAGATGTATGAAAGTGTTTTATTGCCTATCAATTAAAGCGTAATTATTCATACTGTGTGAAATTTGTTCATACGGCGACATTTTTTTTCGTTATAACTTGCTACTCCTTAAAAATACCTCAATATAACATATTCTCCTAGATTGGAATTCTATAGCATAACATAAACCTAATGGTTGTATCTTAGCATTTCGTAGTCCAAATTGAGAGCGTTAAAATATATTTAAGCTATATAACTTGCTGGTTTTATTCGGTACAGCGAATCAAAACAAAACAAAAACCATGACCACCTGTCAAAAAGTCAACATTCCAAGCGATCCTCCTATTTTCGCGTGTAATCAAGATGTAAGAAATGCTTATTGGATCCACTAAAAGCTTTTTCAATACAAGGTTTAAAGCCGTGATGTCAATACTGGCCATCTCCAAACGGATTTAGTGAATCTGTCGGCGTTGCTTTAAGAAGGGTTCGTGGATCTTTCGGAAGTGTATGGGAAAGCCGCTTGTTCAATATTTTTAAGAGCTCCTTCACGCACTGTGCCTTATGTAGGGATCGTATAACTGTAGTTCCTCCAGGAGTTTCATATTGTCGATCGTCTCATCTTCATCGTGTTCAGAAGCACTGAAGGGGTTTTCATTTCATATATCTGAATAGATTTGTTTTTTATAATGACAAAAAATTTCAGAGTATTTTTTGTTGTAGCAGTATATTTCTTATCTGTGAATCTTAGGCCTCTGATAAAGATGATAGTTATAATGAAGCTTTAATGAAGGTCTAAGACTGCTTCAAGTTTTATATCGGTCATAAAAAGTGTACCATAAAACATAATTGTATGTTTTGTTTTGGTTTTATTCTTCAGTTATAAGTAGTGATGCAGAACCACCTTACAGCTACCGTTAAAACTATGAAGTCTGAGTTTTAATTTAGTAGTCATAAAACAGTTTTATAGACGACTTGACGGCCTGATTTTATGACAAGCACACAAAACCGTAATACAACCACAATCTGGAAGGGATGCTATGATAAAACAATGATAAAATAAGAATAAATCTTCCAAGCATTTAGATTGTTACTTGGGACGTCCACTAGTTAAGAAGTTTTACGTTTTACGGAAACTCATTTATTAATTTTGTGTGTCTTTGAAAATGCTTTGATCGTTTGAAAAGTCTTTTTATTAAATTACCGCTAGTGAATAAACATGAAAATTTTTAAGCGCAAAAAAATCATTACCAACATAGGAGAAAATTCAGGAAGATTCTTCCATTGCATTATTTTATGATTCTCCAATATTGTACAAATATTTACACATTACCCACAACTACACATAGTAACTCGGAGCGTTTGGTACGGTATGTCCACGCATCCTTCCACCCCCCTGTAGATTCAAGAAATGTTCCTATTCATTTCCAAGAATCATCTTTGCCGGAAATACAACGCAGTAGGCCTGGCCGTATTGATGTTTATATCATATCTCAGATATGCTG